TTAATTTTAAACCGTTGGCAACGTAAATTTTCACGTAACAGAGTCTAGAAAATGACTCCTTTTCTTGGCATACACATCCAGATACTTCCAAGCTTGAGATCACACTTTTATTAAACTTTTAGCGCCACAATCTTGAACAGTTTTCGGAGACCTGGATCTTGACATTTGTTTTCAAAGTCTCAGAATTTTAGAATTTTTGTTTATCTTTGCGTGTCTAACGTCTAAATTTGCATAGATTTCATAATTCAATTAGCTCTCATTTATTAATATTTGTCTGCACAACATTTTTTTTTTATTTTTTTTTTTAATTCTTTATTTAAGAGATTTTTAGCCTTAGGCTAGTTTATCTCTAGTCTGCACAACAATTTGCATTAGGTCGGGAATCTATTCAAGCTTTTGAATCCGTCAGAAAAAAAATGGATTATTAAAAGGAAATGGATGTAATATCGGCCTAAATGCCCCTAGTTTGGGCCCATACATAAATTCAGCAATCGACTAAATTTTCAAAAGCGATCAAAAATATCCATAAGTACCGTCCCAATGACGCGTTCATCTAGATAAAATTGATAAATAGCAGATTTTTATCGATAGGCCCAATCTTCGATCCATAGGCCAAAATTAGAGCCATTTCCCCTACATGATTCTGGAGTTATTCTGGGTCGGCGTTCGGCTTTACTGTTCTGTTATAATCATACACACGGTGAACTAAATCTTTTATCACTCAAATGATGTAATTGAGCCAATCACCGCTATACCGATGATCCATGATCACATTGGGCATCCCAGAGAAATTTGGCCGGTAATTGTCTTATTGATAGCCTACGGTTACACTAGCACTCTCGGGCATGTTCCGGCGCCACAGTAAACATTGTATGTGGGCATGGGTTGGGTAGTCCGAGCCTAGCAGTTCGGCTACTGTTCTCTTCAGCGCTGCAAAGTTATTTCCAGCCTTGAACCTGCTCTTTATCGGACTCTCGATTTTTGGTGGAAGTATGCGCCAACTTTTGTCTCCGTACCAGTGGACCTTGGCCACTGGGGGGAGCTCTGAATTGGCAGTCATGCGGAGTAGTCTGTTCCCCTCATCGAGGAGAAAGATCCTGTCATTTCCGGAGGTCATTGCGGTAAAGGCAGCGGCTTTCGTTGCAATTGCTGCGGTTATACGATGGCGGAAGGGCAGAATACCCGCTTCGATGCATGCGGCATCGGCGGGCGTTGACGGAAGAAGACCGGAGACAATCCGAATGCAGGTGTTAAAAGCTGGTGCTAGTATCTGCACGAGCTTTTCGGTGGCGATGCACGTCATCTCAAGACCGTACAGTAGGCGACTATCGATGACGGCTCTTGCAACCCGGAAACGAGTGTCGCGATTGTTAGACCGGTAGGGGCGAGAGATGGTGCGGACAGTGTTGGCAAAATCAGCAATCAATTGATATTTTTCTGCTCTCATTCGCTCTTAATATCACGCGTGATATTGGAACAAAATATCATGCTTGATATTGATTTTACAAGCTCCTTTGATATTGCGAGACTATTCACAACGCGCAAAAATCAAGGTGAGAGTTGACTCGACACAAAAATGATTCCGTTACACATCGTTTTCTTAGAAAGAGAAAGAATAGTTTGCTATCTCTTTTTACTCTTCACCGATGACAGACACGAATTGACTGCTGCCAGCCGTTATGGAAGTTTCGGTTGCATTCGGGTGTAAAGCAAAAATCATGAAACTCAATATCACCACAGTTTGTTGAGATTTGCAATTGGTGAGTTTTGTTGGCTTAATATTCTGAGCTGGGATATCACAGCATGCAAAAACAACCGCAGTAGTTTGCTTGTTGATTTTTGTCTACGAAAGTCAAGCGTGATCTTGGGCGTTGGTAAGATTTAATTTTTTTATATTTTCCCAACATTGGGTGCGGATCAAGTTGATCCTACTGCGGCAGTCGTTCTTGATCGCCTTAAAGTGCTGCTCGAAGTTGTGGGACCAGACAACAAGTACCCCCAGAATACGGACCGTCTTCTTCAGGCTGGCTTTGAACTTTGATAGGTGGCCCGCTGACACGGTGCCGGAATGGACACACGTGGCACCTGACGCTTGTGGTGGCCGAAAGCTGGGAACCTGCCGCGCTGGCTCACGTGGCTACATTGGAGACTGCTGTCTGGGCCTTGATCCTGTTACGTGCTGCTGTTGGGCCGGTAGTAATGATAAGTACATCGTCAGCATACACGAAAATGTAAACATGTTTCGGCATTCCTCCGAAAACTCCGTTCATAGCCACAAGGAATAAGGTAACGGCGATAACTGAACGTTGTGGGACGCCCGTCTCTTCTCTGAAAAGCTGGGACCTCGTGTTGCCAACTGCGACTCTGAAAGAACGATCGGTCAGGAAATTTTTGATGAAGTGGACCATGGGTCCACACAGCCCCCAGTTGACAAGCTGCTCTAAGACTGCAATCGTTGGCACTCTTGAGGACCTCCCCTAATGTTGCGAAATAAGTTGACGTTCCGTACCCTTGACGGAAGGCGTGCTGTCGATGGTCTAGCAGGTTTTCGGCTTCAAGAAAATGCTTTAGCCTCCTGTTGACCATTCGCTCCAGGACCTTGGCCATACAGCATGTCAAGGCTATTGGCCGGAACTTGCTAACTTCACGGGTTGTTTCATTGGCTTTTGGGATGCGAATGACTAAGCTCTCCTTCCACGACGCTGGATACGAGTTGGTGAGCCAGAGCTTGTTAAAAAGCTCCAGCATCCGTAGCTGGCTTCTTGAGTAGACCCGCCGACTTTCCGTTGCTGCAGCGGAGGGCATGCTGCAATTCCTGCCAGGAGAATGCCTGGTTGATGTCCGAGTTCCCAGCGTCAGAAGAAACAGAGAAACTTTCAATGGATGACGTCGAAGGCTTAGCTTTCCGCTTGAATTCGCCTTCGTACTTCTCGATGGCTACGAGATCGGCAAAGTACGACCCGAGTTTGTCCGCTACAATTGCAGGGTCAGAAACCGCATCAGTCCTGTGTGCTAAATGTGTTCAGATGCCATCATGAATAGTGACGGAAGTTCTGAATGTAAGAGCATAATCAATATTAATACGCATCATGTTGGAAATTGACCATTTCACCGGGGGAACATTTCTAGGGGCACTGGAACATGCCCGGGAGACCCAATATGACCGTGGACTCTCAATAAGCCCATTACTGACCGAGTGCTGCAAAATCATGAAGTTTGATGTTATCTTGTGTATAATTGGCCGAGGGCACCAGAACATTTAAGGAAGGGCTAATGTGACCGTGATATCTCAATAAAGCCATTACCCGCCAAGTTTTATAAAATCACGACGGGTTTGGTTTGGTTGAGAATATTCCACTTCCCCGAGGGCTTCTAAACTATACGGGATGCCCAATGTGATCATGGTTCATCGGTATAGCCGTAAATTGTTCGATTACATCATTTGACTGAGAAAATATTATGTTCACCGTATGTTTAATTATTACAGAACAGTAAAGCTGAAAGCCGACCCAGAGTGACCCTAACGGAAATCGGAATACCTACGAAACCATATAGGGGAAATCGCTCTAATGTTGGCATATGGATCTAAGTTTGGGCCCATCGTTAAAAAACTGCTATTTATCAATTGTATCTAGATGCACGCGTCATTGGGACGGCATTAATGGATATTTTTGGTCGCTATTGAACGATTGCTGAATTTATGTATGGTTCCAAATTAGGGGCATATAGGCCAACATTACATCAATTTCCCCTATTAATCCAAATTTTGTTTGAAGGATCCAAAAACTTGAATAGATGCCTAATTACCTTAAAAACATAAAATTAACTTGAAGCACCTCTAAATCATCATCGATTTTGCCGGTATTCCATTTCTTACCATATTAACCAAGGGCACCCTGGAAAAACCGGGAATTTCATTTATTAAATTTCGTGGCCACCCTGAATTTCTCGGATAATATAAAAAGCCTTTTCCAAATTCAATGGTTATTACTAATTCTACTCTTTATCTTTTTGCAGGTATTGATTGAGCCGCGAAATCCAGTCATATCCAAAAGATAAAACGAAATAAATTCAAAAATTTCATTCAGAAAACTTTCAGGGTAAGTGAAAAAATGCTTCGTATGTTTGATATGCTTTAGCCGATAAAATTAATCCAAATGGGGGGAATCTAAGCCAAAAACAATTTCTCGCTGATTTGATATCTAAATCGTTTAGTCTTTAATCTATCATTTTAGATTTTGCACTCGATGAGAACGTTTTTCATATTTTTTTTAAGTTTCTCACCAGAATTGGCTCTACTGCTGTCAATTCTGAGTATATATGCAGGCATCTTTTAGGTAGATTTAACACTTGTTCAACCAGCGGTTAGCATCTTGAATATTTTTCATCTTACTCTAGTGAATTAATTAACCACTAGTTGATTCATTCATTCGGTTAAAATGATCTTTCTTCTCCAAAACACAATGTTTTGCAATCAATCGTAATGTTTATAAAATACTCTCCAGAAAAAAAACATTAGAGCTTACTTATATTGTGAATGTAGTATGTTTGAAGATAATCAAGCAATTTTATATTCCCATGATATGAATTCCAGAATTGGACTTCTCCTCTGAATTATCGAGGAATTATTCTTCTCTTCTACCCTTCGGAATGCTTGCGTTCTTGAAATGCGCTTTTGGAGTTGCGATAGAGCTGTCACCTCCTAACTTTAAGCTTTAAGCGGATTTAAGCTTCTTGCAATTATTTAAATAATTGTAGGAGGGTTCTATCTATAATGCCATTGCCAGTTATGTGACGTAATGTGGTAATAAGCGTAACAAAACTGATTGATTCTACATCGACGAAAGCGAATTTGTTGGCTTCCAAAATGCTTCTCTTGTTTAAAGTAGACTCAAACGTTTTGCATCACATGTCTCTGCAGTTAAGAATAAATCAATTCACAAACGCAAACAAATAAACAAATCCCATCCGGGTGAGTCGTTCTCCCAGAATCCACCCACCTGTTGCTGCTGTTGTCGGGGAAGCGTGGCGGTAATTTCCCGCAGCAGCCGCTCGGTCGCCTCCAGACTGGCACTATCCACGGTGTCACCGACGCAGGCCACATTTTGGCAAACACTGACTTTGGTGTTGAAATTGCTGTCACGGATGCTACTGCTGCTATTATTGATGGCCGTCCTCCGGTTGGTTCTGCCACTGCCGCCACCACCACCACCAGCAGCAGCAGCAGCAGCAGCATCGTTGCCGGTTGCTAGGGCTGGAGATTCGGTCCCGTCTCGTTTGGAAGCTTCCAGTTGCGCAAATACCTCGGAGATTTCAGCCTATTTGAAATGGTACGGAAAAACAAAGAAACAGATAAATGGACGAGTAATTGGTTGGTTTGTTTTATTTTTTGCTCAATGCGACACATATGGGTAATATGATTATTCTGATAGCAGTGGGCAACAACGGGGCCAGTCAAATCCCATTGCGAAAAGGTGGGTGAATTGGACTTTGTAGCTGTTACAGAAATGTAATTACGGTATCAAGTGTGATTTGCGTCCTTTTTTCTGGCGTTTTGTTTAGAAAATTGGATCCTTGCTCTGGCATACAAGTGTGGTTGAGCAGCGCATCCAGCCTTTATTTAAAAGGCAGCCCGTGGGATACGGGACTCGTAGTCGAATTCCACCAGCAGTCCGTAAAAGATGCTCACCTTGAGAAGGAACGGAATTTTCTAGGATAAGTTCAGATTTGTTCGCACATTTGCGCAATCAATCTTGTTGCGGTTGGAATTGTGTGAAACCAAAGTGAAGAAATATGAAAACTACTGTTTCTCTGGGAATTTGTGTGCTGTGTTGTCTGGTGGCGTTGATCGCGGCCGAGGCTTTTGGATATGAGACTACTGGCGATACACATTCAACGACAACGACAACGACCAAAAATGAACGAAATTTAGTGAAACCTACCAATTATGGCGCTGGTACAAATAACCTAGAACCCGTTTTGGAATACGTACCCAACGATCTGGCCGTGTATAAGCACCAACATGAAAAGAGGTGAGTGTGACTTAACGCGAGCATCTGTTTACCCACCAACACGTGAGCCCAATTAGTTGTAGTTGATGTGATCTTTAATTGCTCCGGAAAACAAGTGTCTTACTCCTCATCGTGTGTATTTCTTTTCCTTCTCTATCACAGAGAGATACTGACTCATCCGAGTGGATTGGAGACCGTCCAGTCGGATCCACAGCAACACCTCCGTGGTCGACGCTTACCCTTCTACGTCGAAGAACCCCGATATGTCGTATTCAGGCAACCATCGTTTTTCCAATCCAATCCAGGCTTATCCTTCATTCCCCAACGTGGAAGAAAATCCGACCCGTTAGCGGCAACGGCGTTGGAAAAGCGAGAACTGTCGATCAAACAAATGCTGGAAGGTAGTGACTATTTTGTACCGAATCGTGGCAAGAAACGGGTCGGCAATGGGATTTCCAAAAAGATTAAATTTGATGACATTCTCGGTTCGGATGAACTGTTCATCCCCAATCGAGGCAAGAAAGAATTGATCGACTTCTTCTCCCCATCGTTCGGCAGCGGTAGCGTTAGTGGTGGTAGGATGCTAAACGATCTACAACCGCTCTTCAATAAGAAGAACGTTTTGAATGCAATCCAGAACGTTGGCAGCAAGGATGTTGAGAACGGGGAAGAACTGTTCTACCCGACTCGGGGTAAGAAGAACATCTTGGAAAATCTGGCACAAAGCCAGGACACGTTCTTCTCGTCGCGTGGCAAGCGAAATCCAGTCATTTGGAGTATGCTGAACCAGGAACTGAGTCCGTGGGAATACCTGACAGTCGATGATAGCAGCTACGATGCCGACTCAGCACTCGATCGCTATCAAACTAACAAGATTATCACGTAAAGATACGAAATCAACAACAACAACAACAACACAAACTAACGGGGGACTGACGTGTTTCATGAATTCATTAACCAGCTTGTTGTAAAGAAATTAGTTTTTTTTTTTCACAAAAGAAGATGATAAAATATTCATAGAAGAGATATTTCAGAGATTGAAATAAAATCAAAAAATGCAAATGGAAGTGTGGCTTGGTAAATTTCTCCTTCCTTTTTGGTTTTGCGGCCGTTGGTGTTGTCGATGTGTCGATGTTTGCTGTCCATGTGCTGTGGTGATATTCTACACCGGCAAATTGTTTGTGATGCCTGTTGTTGTTATTATTGTGTTTGCGCTGGGTTTTTTTTTCCACAGCCGACTGACTGACTGACTGACTGACTGACTGAGTGACTGACATTTTGGCCTTTTAAAGAAAGTTGTTAATTTGGCTCCAAAACTAGCTTTCGCTGTTGTGTGTGCGCACACAACTCACGCCTCGGTTTTCGGATCACACCGCAGTGCGCTCGCAGCGGTGTCTAGGTTAATAGATAGCAACCTTGAACGCTCGGGCCGATCATCGGTTTGACCGTGTGCCAACTGGAAATTCCGGCCCTAGCGCTTCGGGTCTGCCAAATCATTATGCTTGTGAAATTTTTCTAAAGCGTTTTGTTTCTGTTTTTGGGTGGATTTCGGTACCTGAGAGTGCCAGAGGGTGTGTGTGTGTGTGTGTGTAGTTGCAGGGTGGATGAATAGCAGTTGGGCTGCGGGCACTTTTGAATAGCGATTCAGGTTTTGACTATTGTCTGAATTGAAGGACAAACTTATAGTCGTGAACTGCTGCCAAGTACCGAGAACTGCCCAGACTCATGGTTTTGTTTCACGTAAAGTTATGTTTCTACAAGAACTACTCTCGCCTAAGGGTCTTAAATTTGTAGAATGTATCTATCTTGGGATTTTTGTAGAACAGGATTACTGCGCTCAAATGGTTTCGTACCAATAGAATCCATGTAGCATTATACCATTTCGTTTCAAGTTTCTGTATCAATAGTAGGATAAAAAGATCATTCTGTTTCTATTCACTTAGAAGAGTCAAAACCAGTTCTTGAAAGTATTATCGTCATGAAAACTGCTGCAAAACGAGCTGAAAATGAACCTGGGATAGAACTCGACAAACAATGCTTACGAATGGAGCATTACGATCGTTATAATTTAAAAAGTGTCCCGAAATCCTGAGTTCCACCCTTTCATGTTATTCAACGGTATAGATTATCCAAATTGGTTGAGATTCAGGGGTGCCGCACGCACGATAAAGTAGTGTTTAGAAATTAGTAAGGAAAGCCATGTTAGCTACATGTGTCGATGTGTCGTGGGGAGCTTGACGAACGGAATTTTAAGCGTGTCATGGACATTTTCCTTGAAGATAGTAAACCAATTCGATTTACCCTTGAAAAGTCTCTACTGGTCTACTGGGTTTTATGTGTCGTCCGTTGTCTAGTGTTAATTGCTTACACTGAGTAATCTCTGTTTAAAGACGGTGTCAATTGTCTTTAAAAAAAAAGTATTCAATATAATCCACCAAATTATGCGTTATTTGCTTTACACAACTTGGAAGGGAAATATGGTGAGAATCTATACCTACACAAAATATCGAATAAGTTTGCTGACACTATTGAGAATACGTGTACGAAGCAGTGATGGCATAATCATTAGCAAATTGATATTTTCCCGCTCTCATACGCTCTCAATATGTTTGATATTTTCCTGGCTCTCAAAGCTCCTTTGATATTGCGAGACTATTCACAACGTGTAAAGTTGTAGCTGAGAGTCGACGCAAAAATGATTCCGTTGCACCTCGTTTTCTTAGACAGAGAAGGTATAATAATGCTGTCTCTTTTTCCTCTTCACCGATGTCAGACACGAAGCGACTGCTGCCAGCCGTTATGCAAAATCATGAAACTCAATCTCACCACACTTTGGTGAGTTTTGTTAGCTTAATATTTCGATCTGCGATATCATAGATTGTAATATCAACCGCAGTTGTTTGCTTGTTGATTTTTGTCTACGAAAATCATATCATCTTTGGTGAGATTTGATTTTTTGATATTGTCCCAACACTGGTACGAAGAATAAACTTATCACGTCACATAAATGTTATTAAGATTTTTGAATACCTATATCAGGGTGGCCAGCGAACCGGTAAATAACCGGGAATTTGAAAAGTAGTCGGGAAAACCGGGAAATTTCCCTTACCATACCGTCGTCGGTCACTTAACACACCGAGCACGATGCCTCCGGTAAAATGTGTAACGGAAAATTGGCAATGTTCACACTTAGCTTTTTCTACCGAGCTCGGCTGTGCAAATCGCCGCATAAAAAGTTTTACTGAGATCTCAGCAAACATTTCATTTGTTTGCTGAGATTCAGCTGAGCATTGTTCGAGATTCAGCAATCAAATGTCACTTTTGCTAAAATCTCAGTGAAACTTATTTTTGCCGAGATCCGAGCACAGCCGAGCTCCGTAGAAAAAAACTAAGTGTGTTTGAAGAATCATTGCTCAGCAGTTTATATCTGGATTATAAATCTATTGATACCGAATAAGTCTTCAAAGTACAGTATGCAAAAAAAGTTTATCCACCCCCCTATCAATTTACATTTTTTTTTTGTTTTTCTGGTGAAAATCAGTTTAGTTTTATGAGTGTTCCTCCATGATTTATCAATTTATGTTTATTTATCACATTGCCATTGAAAATACGGCGTTTATATCTTTTCTTGAGATTTCATGTGATAAATTATGAAAAATGGTAAAAAATTACGCAAAAAAAGTTTATCCATCCCCAAACGGATACTATGATTTAAGTGTGTTTTACAGAGTTTTAGTGTGTATTCTGCAACTTTATCGAATGTAAACATTGTGTCTATCTGTCATTTAGTGCTCTTGAAGTTTTCGTGCTCAAAATTTCAGTTTTGTGTTCAAAATTGGAAGTTATTTTTTTCAAAATTCCCAAAAACTACCAAATTTCGATCAGTATCCGAAATTTGATTATTGAACATCACAAAACTGGCAAAAGCTACCGTGATATTGCCGATATTGTCCAGCTTCATAAAGATACGGTCGCTAGAATTGTGCAGATGTACAAAAAGCGCGGTTCTATCTCACCAGCTAAGCGATTGGGGGGTCCTTCAAAGACAACTGACCTAATTGACAGAGCTATCGTGAAGAAGGCGGAGCTGGACCGGGGACTATCAGCTCCGAAAATTGCGAACCAGATTGAAAGCGAGTTTTCCATTCAACTGATATCACAATCCGTACGAAATCGTCTTCATAAGAAAAGTCTTAAGGGCAGAGTAGCTCTTGAGAAGCCATGGTTGTCCGCAATATATATCAAAAAAAGATTAAAGTGGGCCCAGGACCACATTTCATGGACCAGTGATGACTGGAATGAAATGATTTATTTTGAATTCCTTAGAAATTCTTCTTAGAATTACCTTGGAATTCTTCTTAAAATTCTTTAACAATGTGTAATTTTAATAATTGAATTCCTTGATATTCTTCTCAAAAAAAAATTCAACTCAAAACGATCCACATAAATCCTACGATAAATCAACACCTACCCTACCCGTGTCCCTCGAGATCGTCAAGTCGACGATGACAGGAGCACATACTAGAGGTAACAATAGTTGCAATTCCCAAACCTACGACTGGATGCCTTCCTTCAGACAACAACTTGAGTGCGGTAAAAATCGATAGAACTGTTTCAAACACATCGTCGGTACATGAGCGAGTCGGCGATCATCTCTTTTTGCTAGTGGTGTCGGGGGGGAATACCCATCCCTCTCCAACGGGGGAGTTTGGTGAAGAGAGAAACCGATTTGTACCTTCCTAAAGTTGTCCTTGCTTTCTACTCTCTATATACAATTTTCACACTACCGTACTCTAATGGAACTATCAATTCTATACTTTCATCTCCTCATCTATCGTATAAAAATACCACTTAAGTCTGTTATTTGAAATTAGCATCTTCAACTGTGTTTATAATAATTTAATTTAAATTGAGTTTTTGTTTTTATTATTTTATTTATTTATTTATTTATTTATTATTATTATAGTCAATCTGACTTGATAGTCTCAATGAAACACTTAAATCTAAATGTAGTCACTCATTAAAAATTAAAAATTGGCCAACAGCAAACGATGACGAAACATCGAGGCATTGATGTCAAAGTCAAATAGGTCAGAGGCTTCGTTGAATTGATGAATCATGGCGACAAAGGAACTGTTTGCAGCATAGTTGGTTGCATGTACTACTTCATGTAGCAAGGTTCTCGGACGAAGTGTTCGGGCAGGAGCATACAGATTAATTTTGGCCAGTAACTCAGAACATCATATTCTGCGAGTAAAACTTTAGCAACGAAGACGACCGGCGATATGTTTCGTCGCTTAGCAAGATTATCCAAACCCAGTAAACGACAGCGGTCAGCATACGGTGGTAAATTCAGCGGGTCACTCCATGGAAGATAGCGCAGTGCGTATCTGACGAATTTGCGTTGAACAGCTTCGAATCGTCCACTCCATACAGCTTGGTAGGGATTCCAGACTACACTCGCGAATTCCAGTAGTGAGCGTACCAATGAACAGTAAAGGGCTTTAAAACACAGAGGATCACGAAATTCCTTAGATATCTTGAACATGAATCCAAGCTGTCGATTAGCTTTGTCGATCGTGGTTGAGAAGTGGCGAGTGTATGTGAGCTTTTCATCCAACATGACACCGAGGTCTTTAACGTGATCGACACGTTGAACTGCAGTTCCAGCAACGTTATAATCAAACAAAATGGCAGTCCTAGTTCGACGGAAACTAATTACGCAGCACTTTGAGACGCACAGGACCATAAAATTACGTTCACACCAATCATTAAAGATTTCAAGAAGGTTTTGTAGTTCTAAACAGTCGGCATAGCCTCGAACGACTAGATAAATCTTCAAGTCATCGGCAAAAAACAATTTACCTCCTCGTAGTAGAATAAACGTTACATCGTTCACAAATAAAGAGAAGAGCATTGGTCCCAAAGTGCTACCCTGTGGAACTCTTGATCTGTTCGAGAAACAGTACGATGAGTAGTTTCCAATGCATACAGTAACTTCACGTTGCACGAGGTACGATCTAAGCCAGCTGCAGAAGGAAACAGAACATCCAATTTTTTCA